TCTGATTTAATTTCAAGTCGAATTTCTAATGCATCAACAAACCCACCGAAGCGGACTGCCTTCCATTAGAAGAAAAACAAACATATCGTGAACTAACATACAATAATAAAATTATAACAAACAAAATGATTAATCAAGCTAAAAGACTCAGATATCTTAGCCAGGCAGGAACAGTTGACATGCTAAGAACAGATCTCACACATTTCCTGAAGTGCAGTAATACAGGTGACGAGGTTTCGAATGGTGTACCTTCAAAAAAACTTAACTCGATGTGGCAAGGATTACCACGGTAGTCCTAATCTAATCAAGTGGACCATCGGGATCATTGCTTTGATGATATTAAAGATGTTTATTAAAATATGAACATGCCTGTCACACTCAGTGTATTAAACGACAGCGAAATGATGTTAAGCAAACTCTGTGTTTAAGCTTAAAGATTTAGCGAAAAGTTGAAACAAGACGAGCGAACTTCCATCATCTCTAGCACCGATGCCATCAAGTCATAGTAAATAGGATGATCTCGTTTATTTTTCCCTTTCTGGTAATCTATCCAATATTTTTCTTCAGAACGGAATAGCCTCTTTCATGAAAGTTAGGCTGCAACTCATCTCTCTAGAATAACCGTTCAAGTACGGGATGGAGAGAGTAGTTCTAACGAATGACCAGCAACGACGGTTGAACTGCGTACAACAGCGCTGGCTAAGACACATAATGAAGGTTAAATGGCAGAACTGCGTAAGGAAGGACAGCAGTTCTTCGGTGTGCATGTGACCTTCTTAAAACACAAAGATTAATAAAAAGGAAGTCAACCGTTTTAGATAAACTGGCTAAGAAGAAAGTTTTCTCCAGAGTCTGTGAACTTCTTACTTATTAATCGATCAGGAGAAAAGCATGTAATGCGGAAGAAAAAACTGAAGCAGATCTGTACTCGGACATAAACTATTCTTGCAACGGTTCTGCTACTATTGCCTTACAGTAAAAGGATAAAAAGCTGTCGCAAATGAGGATATGTCAGATGCTGTTTGTTGATATCCCAAACCGGACATTTTCTGGCAAACGATTGGATATGCTGATCATAATCAAAAGTGCTATTTGATACTGCTATCGTCCGTTGATTGGTTGCTGAAGAAAAGAGCAAAACATAACATGCATGATGCAATATGACGCTCTATTAACTCATAGATCGATACTGAAATTTCGGTACGTATCTGACATGTTATCTTCAAGGAAAAAGAGACAGGGTTTTAGAGGTCATCGACGGTAAGTGATTCGTGTAGAGCCGAGGGGATGATGCGACAGGTGTCACAAGTTCTGACATGAACATATCATAACATTTACGGTATCCATATCGTTCAGAAATCAACAACTAACAAGCCCTTTTTCGGTTGGTTTCTCTGAAGCACAGTGGGCTGAATTCCTAGCCCAACGGAGTTAGAAGTTAAGAAGTGAATTTACTTCACATTTCAAATACTGCTACCACAGGGTGAAAAGATATCGTGTAAAGGAGGGACATTCTTCCTTTACTTTAAACCAATACTGCGGTAGTGTAAGACGGATAAAGGCCTCCTTTACACCGTGTTGTGCGGCAACATTCCACAGCCCCTTTGTCTCTAGTCGTCTAGCGGTGCCATTTAAGCAGGCAAGAGCTCCATGGTATCTAAGCCCTTGTGAATTTACCTCACACACGAGATTTGAATCCAAAACCTCTATGGTGCAAAATAACCTAAAAATAGTACAAAGGTAGTGACTCTCTTTCCACTGTACGTCATTATTCTCCAAGAATAGTCCGCCTGATGAATGTGCATGTCATGATGCTGGTTCAGTCGTTAGACTACTAATAGGTGAACATTTTTTTGGTTGTAGTGCTGAAAACCATCGAATCTGTAGGTACATCGGACTCAAAAATTACATTAAGATAAAAATTATTTGTGCATGAAATCTAAAGAAATTTTCTGCATGAGAGTAACGTAATCAACAGGGAACATGTCTGAACCAGCCTTTAAAAGGCGCAATGGTAGGTAATGGAATTTGAAAACTTTGCCTCAACCATCTTCTTACACAAAGACTTTTTTACAATAGTACAGAATCGTTATGACCGTTATGAGAATCGCGTCGTCTGAAAGAACAGCCCAGATATTCCACTGTTTAAATGTAAGCACTGAAGCAGCCATGTCGGAGGTCAATATTAAATGTGAAAAAACCGTCTTTCGTTAAACCTGTTGAATAGTCATATTTCTTCGAAGAAAAGGGAAAAGTGCTTATATATGCTAACAATGTACAAATACTATAAACCAGTTATACTACTGCATATATCATAGTTTAAAAGCTGAGAGCCCAAACGGTGAAACAGTGAAGTGCACGAGTTAACTTCGTTAAGAATCGACCGAGGGGTCTTTTGATCTTTACAAGTTACCATTGGCAAAACTCGTCTCAAAATTCGAGTGCTACTTCATTTCTAGTTAACTGTCGTTGTCGTTCTAAGTACTTCTCGACTATGTTTGCATGTCGTTGTTGTATTCCAAAAAACGGCGTATTTTCTCAGAGAGCAACAAAGCGAAGTTGTAAGGCCAGCACGCAACGACGCATTTGCCCAGGTGCAGTAGCTTAAAATGGAACGGTGTGACAGTGTGTGACCAGCCTCAAAAAGTGCTTAAGGTCATGTGACGTCAGTGGTTTGTTTTTGCGACTGGGTACGGGGTCGATCTTATGGAGGCAGGTCGAAAAAGAGACCGCGTCATGGTGTGTGGGGGGGGG